GTAGAAGGAGGAAGAGGAAAATTTCAAAACTACTGGGTATCAAATTGGAAGAAGAACTGGAGTATCTAGGGGTTAAAATGGCTTTGAGAAGGTTAAGGAAGGCTGACTTCCAAATGCTTATGGATAAATCCTTGAAACGGCTTAATGCTTGGGGGAATAGGTTTGTTTCCCTTGCCTGTAAACTCGTGCTGGTGAAATGTGTTCTTCTTGCACTTCCAGTTTTTTTGATTACACATTCTCTAGTTCCCAAGAGAATCCTATTTGAGCTGGAAAGACATTGTAGAGACTTTATTTGGCATAAGATGGATGGAGGCCGTGGCTTGCACTATGTGAGCTGGGAAGTTTTATGTCGACCCAAACAGTGTGGTGGTTGGGGTGTTCAATCTGTTTTGGATAGAATGGGACCGCTTCGAGTTAAATTTGCTTGGAATTCAATTGAGAATCCTAATTCTCTGTTTTATAGAAACTTTATTGCCAAATATGGGGAGAGCTGGTGGAAAATGGAGAGAACTAGAAGTGGTTCTAATTCTTGGAAGATTATGATGAGTGGATGGGAAGTTCTTAATAATTTCCTAAGATGGAAGGTGGTTAATGGTGAGAACATTGATGTCCTAAAGGATGCTTGGATTATGGAGAAAAGCTTATTGAAATGGCATACGTTTGTGGGAAATTTAGAAGATGAAGACATGAAGTTGAACTATTTCATTGAGAATGGTAACTGGGTTAATTCTAAACTCAGAATTTGCTTTGGGGAGGACTTGGTTAAGCTGATTGAAGATGTTCAGATTTTCAATTCTTTGTATGAAGATCAAATGGAACTAAGGCTGCAATTAACGGGTAAATCCTTATCTGCTTTATTAATTGAAAGTAGATATAAATATTTACTTGAAAATGCTGATACAACCTGGATGCATAAACTGAAGTTAAATGCCAAAGTTAAGTTGTTTCTTTGGCGAGTTTGTAAAGATGCAGTTCCAACAGAATTTTTTCTGTTTAAGAGAAGGATTTCAGGGAGCTTTCTTTGTCCAATGGGTTGTGATGAAACTGAAAATCTAGATCATATTACAACTTCATGTTAAACTCTGGTGAATGTAAACAATGTGCTTAGAAGCAGGGGATTTAAAATCCCTGTTTTCAGCACCTTTACAGAATGGATTCAGGGTATGCAAAATCTGTTTGTGCAGAATGTATTATCAGCATAGGTTTATGCATTGAGTATGTGGTTTGTCTGGAACAATAGATGCAAGGTGAAACATGGAAATTCTGGGTGTAGTGCTGAGGTGATTGCAGCTTTTGTTATTAGCTTTTTCAGTTCTTCTAATCAAGATGTGTATCGCTCAGATAACTAGGGTGCTAACCGGTCCGATGGACTGCTCTCAGATTTTTGGCATCCCACTCCACCTGAGTGGTTAAAAGCTTAATTGGATGCTTCTCTTAAAGAGAACTATGATGCGGGGTTAGGAGGAGTTTTAAGAGATGACAAAGGGAGATTTTTTTTTTCTTTTGGAAGGAAATGTAGACATTGGGACATTGACCGTATGGAGCTATCTTCTTTTAAATCTGTTAAAGACATGATGCAAGAGTGGATTTATATAGCTAAAGGGATTATAATAGAGCTGAACATAGGGAGTTTTAAGGGCTACAGAAAGGCTATACGGAGAAAAATAAAAATACATACAACGCTGCACGCTAACCTATGACACATATTGCCTCTTGGTTGGGTACAAGAGGCAAAGTCAACGGACGAGTGAGCATAGAGGGGCTAGTAGATGTAGGGCGAGTTCTTGGTAGAGTCCTAAGAGGAGATGGACCCATAGCTAGCTAGTCGTCTCATCTAGTTGGAGAATGACATAGGGAGCTCGAGGTTGCCATGTCATGAAAGGCAAGCAGTGGTGTTTGCGGGGATGAATAGTCTTTGAGTATGGTAGTGGTAGCTGAATGGAGTGTGGAACCCCTAAGATTGATGCTCTCATGTAGTTGAGTCTGACAGGCTCGAAGGAAGAGGATCTGATTGAGATGAGTGATGATTTGGTTGCTTTGTGAGGAATTTCATGGTCTCCCACCATAGGGTGACCTCCTTGGCAGATGTGGGCGAGCGACGCCTGCCATTCTCCTTGAGCAAGTTTCTCTCTAGTCCCTGACTAGTCCTTTAAGGGATCTTCTCCTGAGAGGGAAGACCCTCATCACAACCCAGTCGCTACCTATCAAAGCACTTGAGAAGGTGATCATGGGTATACAGGTACAATGAGAAAAAAATTAAATAGCGTTGGTTGGGCTTCTTTTTTGCATGAAATGATTTAGCTTTTAATACTTTGTCTTCTAATTTTAAAATAGGAGATATAATGAATTTTTAATTTTATACTGTCATTTAAATTTCAAAATAAGAAACCTGAAAATATACTTGCATTTGCATTCCAACATAATAATTTGAATAAAAAAATATGTGGATGAATTAATTCAAATTTACTCTCTGAATTTATCATTTAAATTAGAAAACATTTATAAGAATTTAGTATGAATGTGCTGACACCAGTTAAGGTGATGTTGGATCAAAGAAAATATTTTAAATAAAATATTTACTTACCTTTTAGGATTGAATATGGTGCTAATAAGGAATAATGCTAATTGATTTTGAGTGATTTAAATGAGGATTTTTTTAGGAATGACATTAACATAAAAACTATAAATTGGAAAACATTTTAAACAACTCTGGTAAGTTTTAAAAATTAATGCAAGGCTATAGAATAATTTCATAAATAGATTTAATTAAATTTGGACATAAATTGAAAGCAATTAATGGGAAAATTGGGAGACAATGTTTTTAGGACCCCCCGAGCTTCCAAAGGCACAACAGATGTACTGCATTATATCTCGTTAGTTCTCTAAGGTTCAATTTTGGGGAAATAAGAAGGGCTTTCCCTAGTGTTTTATCTAATAAATTTTGAAATAATACTGACGACTGTTGTATTTTTTTTGCCTACTCTTAATTTGAAGGAAGTAATTTGAGAGGAGGGCAAGCGATGTTTCCTTTCAGATCCACTAGGAGTACTCGGTTAAAAAAATAATGCTTGGCTGGAGAATAATTCTTTAAACAAACAAATTGAAATTCTAATATAAATTGAAAGAAACTTATGGGGTAAATTTCAAATGGGACAATTTATGTAAAGAGTATTGAAAAGCACAGAAAACATGAAGAGAAATTAGAGTAAATTGAGAAATAAAATTTGATTAAAGGTAAAATATTGGAAAGAATATCACCCATTTGAAATCACAAGATTTGATTTGAAAAGTATTTTATAGATTCGAACAACAAAGCCACACAAAGGTTTCCTACACACAACCAAAATAAATCATGAAGTTCAATGTTTATAGTTTTTAAATTTAAATAATAATATTTACTAATTTTAAATATACAACAATAACAACAATAACAACATCAAGCCTTTATACCACTATGTGGGGTCGGCTACATGAATCTTTTATTTTTTTTCCATTGTGCCATGTTAAAGCATGGTTTAAAATTGCGCAATATGAGGCTCGCCTTTGCGCAATTCCAGTAAAAAATGCCTCGATGCTTATAATAATAATAATAATAATAATAATAATAATAATAATAATAATAATAATAATAATAATAATAATAATAATAATAATAATAATAATAATAATAATAATAATAATAATAATAATAATAATAATAATAATAATAATAATAATAATAATAATAATAATAATAATAATAATAATAATAATAATAATAATAATAATAATAATAATAATAATAATAATAATAATAATAATAATAAATTATTAGATTTAAATGATTTTAAATAGAAAGAATAAAATTTTTTAATTTTTTTTACCTAAAATGATAAAGGCTTGGTTAGAAAGTATTAGAAATGACATTTCATTTATTATTTTTAAATTAGAATTTGACTTTTAACTAGACACAATAGAGAAAAAAGATTCATGTAGCTTACCCCATATAATGGGATAAAGGCTTGATGTTGTTGTTGTATATCTGAAATGATATTCTGGATTCAACAGTAATGGAAATGAGTGCAAATTTAGGCAAAATGAAATAGTTATTTGTTTAATTATATGAAAAGTGTGATTAATTGAAAATAAAATTATAAGTTGTTAAAAAAGTCTTCCCTTTTTGATTGTCCTTTATTTTGTAGTTACAAAGCTTGACTTTTTGTCTTTCGCATCATTCCATGTTCATTGTACTTTTTAGGCTCTTGAATCTAAATTTATCTGTGGGCGAAGCCTGATCTTACTTGCAAGATTTACTGCAAAAAGTAGAGAACCAAAAAGAAAGAGAGAGGGAGAGAATATGAGAGAAGCATTGTGATTTCATTGCCCGATAGTAGAGAGGTTGAGACCAATAAGTTGTTGTATGTGTTCTTAGGCTTGACTTCTGACCCTCTATTTATAGGTGAGAGTAGAAGCAATGATATATAAAAAAAATTACAAAAAAGGTAAATAAATGAATGATATAACATGTCTAATAAAATCTTACAACTAAAAGGAGATATGTTAATTATATCTCTTTGGTTACATATGCATTAGAGCTTTTCAGATATAAGATAAGCCCCCCACATGTAGCTACTAATTGGTCTGGTTTGATCTGATTGAACTGTGAGATTAACTTCTTTTAGCATGAGCAACTTGGGGTATAAACTATTTACTGCAAAAAATATCAATTTCTATTGATGAGTAAGATTTTTATTTGGAAATATATGTAGCCATCTTAAATTATTCTATTGGATATCTCATGTATTTGTTTGAACTATATGGTTCATTTTCTTATTGGTATTTGGCAAGTGGGAATGGATAACTCTAACTAATGCTTTATTGTTGTCAGTTAGTACCAGTCTGTACCAGCTTCCATGTGGGAACTGCTATGAAGCATTTACTAACTTCTGTTTACTTACAGTCTTCCTGTGGCACTCATAATTTGGTGTCGTAGCATTAATTTAAATTAACTGTCATTGCAGGAAAATTATCCACACTGTTGGCCCAAAATATGCTGTCAAGTATCATACTGCTGCCGAAAATGCTTTGAGCCATTGTTATCGTTCTTGCTTGGAACTTCTTATTGAAAACGGTCTTCAGAGGTTGGTATCATCAAATTATGCAGATGCCAAAATGTTTGATAGTTTCTCCTATGAATATTGGCAATAATATTTGTGTGATGCAGCATTGCAATGGGATGTATATACACTGAAGCAAAAGGTTATCCTCGAGAACCTGCTGCCCATGTTGCAATAAGTGAGTAGTGGAAGTAATTTGAATAAAAGTTCCAGTTACTATTCTTTCTAGATTTGCTACCTTTAATTATACATCGGTGTGCACTTGCATAAATTACCTAGCAATGTTGTTGCACATTCTCTTTTCTTTTTTGCTTCTCAACTGAGTTGTCATCTGATAATGGCCAGGGACTGTCAGGCGTTTCCTGGAAAAGCAAAAGGATAAAATAACTGCTGTTGTTTTTTGTACTTCTAATTCATCTGATACAGAGATATATAAGAGGTTTGTGTCTTCGGCATCCTAAATTATCCTAAATGAGTTATATTGTACATATAAAAAAGTTGTAATTTAGACGTGCTTCAAGCATGAATCATAGATTAGCTTTCAAAACCTCCTTGGAGTATGATAAAAGACATTTGTTTTTCTACTGTTATTTAATTTCTTAATTTCCAAATATGTTTTGCAGATTGCTTCCTTTATACTTTCCCAGGGATAAACATGAAGAAGAGGTTGCTATATCAAAGCTTCCGGCAGATGTTGGGGATGAAAATGGTGAAACTGTAATAGATGAGCGAAAAATAAGGATTAAACCCTTACCAGTGCTGTCATCAACTACAACGAATGCATCTACAACCTCGGTTGATATTCCTATCAATGATTCTGATTCAACTTTAAGACGGTTAGTTGAGACTCCAAACTAGTTCCAAATTTCAGTGTTTCCTTTTTTTTTTCATTTGGTGTATGTGTGCTGTTCTTCACCACATAAAAGTTCCAAGCAAAGAAACTGAAGCCACGAAGGAACTAGGAATTATAATACTTTACTTCTGCTTCAAATAAGGAACCTGCTGCCCTTATTTCAAGTCCTTGTTCAGATCTTTTTTCGAGAATATTCATAATTCTCTTTCATTATTTCATAATAATTTATCTAACGTATTGTACAAAAAGTGTGTTCTAGTTATTGGTTTATGTTTCAAGAACTAGGAGGTCTAATAGTGATAATTATTTTTTCATACTTCAAATAAGCCATGCTAGATTTTCTGATGTGGAAAGAGACATATAAGGTGCTTTTAGGCTTGCTCGATTGATAACGTCTAGATTTTTCTTTGCAAGCAGAGTTTTTTTTTTTGGTACTAAGTTTTGGAATGTTTTCAGGGCATGAAATTCTGTTCCACTTCAAAAAGCACAGTTTTTAATTTCATGATGAATGATCATAAAGCGCTATGGTAAGGTATTGATGCAAGTATAGTATATTAGCTTTTGTGCACACGATTGCCATGAAATATTTTACAAGTATAGTATATTAGTTAATCTCATACTTATTCTAGAGTAATCTTAGGGTTGCAATCAACTCTTTCTAGTGTTCTTGAGCTCATCATTATTTGTGAATATTTTATGACTTGGTGGATCTACAGTTTAATATCTTAATAAGAGACAATTGATATGAAAGAAACAAGTTAAAGGCTATAAATTCTCATACCTTTGGGTTATGGCCACCTAAAGTTTAATGAAGCTAATAATTTGTCATTTTATTGAATTTCTTAGATCATGATGCAAGTTGTGCTTATATTTAGGTTTTTCTAATGCAGTTATAATGTAATTCACAAAATTATGCTTATAAGATTAATATTTGTAATCCACAACATCACTTTAAATCAATATTCATCTATTTTGATAACTTTAAAATATGCAAAATTTACACTAAGAATATTTTAATGGCTGTCTAAATAGAAATTTAGAATAAATGGAAACCTCACATCCTCAAAATTCAAATTTTAATTAGATAAATAGGATTGTGTGAGTTTTGACCAAACAGTAACCACTCATGTTGGCATTCCATGCAAAAAATCTTCTATGGAAAGGGAAATAATTTGGCCTGAAACAGTAACCACTCAACTCTCTCCCATTTGGGGCAGTGACTAGACAATCTTGACCCCTATGCAACTAGGGATTTATCCTATGAATGTAGGAGTTAGACATTGACTTTATAGGAAGATATACTAAGTGGATCGGTTGACTTGGCTAGCATGTGTTCGTTGAGAAGGCAACGTTGAATGTCGGACAGAAGAAAACTCCGATTTATGGAGTCTTCACCAAGAAACTGGCGTCAAGTGCCAAGGATTGATCCATTTGGGCAAAAGTCATCTACTGATGTAGACATAGGGGGGGTCAACTCAGGTCCAAAATAAATCAATTTTGGCCTCCCTCGAGTTTACAAGCTTAATCAATTTGAGCCGAAATTTTAGCTCATTTATGAGCTGGTCTTTAGTTCATTTATTGAACTAAGGGTTAGCTCATTATTAGCTAAGTTTTAGCTCATAATTATCTTTTATTTAATGTACTTTTTATTATAGTTTTTAATATTTTCATTTAAGTTGTCTCTTGGGTTTCCAAAAGGGCTTTTGGAATCCCAAGATTGATGTTTTATTTTCCCATGTGTGGCTCCTTGAATTACACCATGGTTTGCTAGTTTTCTTTTGTGCCTTTGCCCCTTGGAATTCATGCCGGCCGCTGGTTTTCTTCGCCTGGGCTCTTTCCCGTGGCTGTGGCGCCTTGGTTCCGGGCGGTCTCCTTGGTTCCCGTGGTTGCCTCTTCGGTTCCTTGGCTTGGGCTGTTTTTTAAAAAAAGCATTTGGGTTTAATGCTAAGTCTTTTAGAATTCCTATGGGAATTTATTAGGAGTTTCTTTGTATTCCCCTTTCATACCTATATATATGGGGGGTATTGTATTGCTTTAAAAAGTTGAATGATATGTGATTTTTGGAAATGTAAACCTGTGGGTTTCATGGAAAAACTTGCGAGCTTTGTCCGTCTTCTTTCTCATCCCCTCTGGAAATCCTGCGGGCTCTTTCCACCCTTCTTCTTGGCTTCTAATCTCTTCGTCTCTCCGCAAGTGCCACTCCACCTGTATCATTCTTCTCAAAGTAAAGCAACTTTAGGGTGTCTTTGGTTTATGAGTCAAAGTTTGTAAGTCATTGAAATTTTGTGTTTTGTAATTTCTTCTTTTTAGTTTTATTGTAAGAGTTTGTTCTTCCCCTTCTTCTTCATCGTTTCGGTTTTTATCTCCGGTGTGCGCGAGGGGTATAGGCTCCCCTATATTTCTTGCCCCCACCATCTACCAGTTCCAAAGACTAATGAGATGAGGTTATGGTCCAAAGACTAATGAGATGGCGTTTGGGAAGATGGCGCTTGCTGAGAAGTTGTTGGCTACCAAGATTAGGGGTGTCAAAAAATTACCTGATTTGCCAACCTTAGGTTCGGGTTGACCTATATAATAAACAGATAGGGTTTGGGTATGGAATTCTGACCAGTTTATTAAATTGGTCGAGTTTGAGTTGAACAAATTACATGATCTGTCAACTCTATTTTGATCGGTTTAAAAAAATTTTCCTTAATTTTTGTATTTGTTGGTATGATTGTCTTATTTTTTTCAATTACTTTAAAATCTATTGCTTAAAAAATATAAAATAAAAAATGGGTTATTGGGTTGGGTTCGGGTCATTTAGGTTGCTAACGTGTCTGGTTTGAGTCCATATTTTTTACCCGTGTATTAAAATGGTTGGGTTTGGGTTGAACAAATTCAGGTTGGGTCAATTTCGAATTGAACCCGAATCCGACCCGTTGACCCATTTTGACAACCTATAATCAAGATGTTTTTGATCGGTTCTAGAAGCATTGGTCAAGTAGAAAGGATGCTAACCTACTAAGGAGATGGTGCTCGAAGGAAGAGCTGATAGATCAAGGCGGTGCCAATTTGTTGCTGGACAGTTTATAGAATATTGGAGAAAGATCGACTCAAGGCAAGATTTATGTGTTTTCTAGACCTACGAAAGCTTATGAAATGGGCTAATTCAGGTTTATAGGGGAAACCAAGTAATTCTTGGTTTGGGTGGACTAAATGTTTGGTCCTAGGGTGATATTGTAGATTCTTTTAGGGTCTAGGATGATTGCGGCCAAGGCTCAATCTCAAATTTTGTATAGGGAGCCAATGATGGACATTCAAATCAAGAGATCTCATGGTGCCAAAGGAGTGGTCAACTTGCTATAAATTAGGTAATGATGTTCTATCAAATCAATAACATGTTGTATGTATTTAAGGTGTCAGTTTATTAGGGAGATCCTCAAGATATAGTTCTTTAAAGTTAATTAACAATAGACAAACATTCTTAGATATATTGACTTTTAGGCATAAATTTTTTCAATTTTATAGCCATCAAAGCACATATCAATCATTTTTTAGTGTTTTCTTTTTGAAAGTATGTTGGCTTGACCATATTTATAGATTTCCTTAGTTCACTAAGACCATTTGATTCTTTTGCATATGACAGAGGTAATCTTAGGCTTATTAGGTTTTAACACTATTGTCCTCGAATTGCTTTTAACTACATAATTGTTAAAGCTCTCTAAGTGAGTCTTATCTAAATCATATAACTACGATTAGGATGCATGGGTACCAACACAAGGACCTGGACATGATATTGGCATGGGACATGCCTATTATTAAAAATATAGGACAAATATACGCATTGGATAAATAATTATAATTTTTATATATTTTAAATTAAAAATAAATCAGAAGAATTAAATAGATAGATATTAAGATTAAGAAAGAAATGATAAGCCTTTAATTTTAATTTTAACATGAACATAAGCTTAAGCTTTAAACCAAGTTAACTTTCTCATAAAAGTTGAAAACTTAAGCTTAAGCTTTACAATTTATCTTAAAAGAAAGATATAACTATATTAAAATCTATTGAAATTTCATTCAAATTTTATGATTTTCTGGTGAAAAAACAAGCTTTATCTAAAAATTGAAAAATGCACTCAATTTTGGTCAAAATTCATGAAATTAGTCGAGATAAAAAAAATAAACCTACTTAGGCTTGATTTCATAAAAAAAAAAATTTAAATTGAATCAAATCTAACTTAATTTTTCAAACCTTAAGACTTGCTTTCACGCATTGATTTAGCTCAAATTTTAAAAATAAAGTGGTACTCACCAAGTCATCATAGATGCGTTGCGACCACATTGAGAGAAAGGGGAGTTGAAATTCTAGTCGTGAGCTTTGACGTCAACAAAGGAGATGGTGTTGAGAGGGGGACTAATCCTAATCATGAGCTTTGTTGTCAAGAGAGGATATTCCTTTTTGTTTTGGGGGGGGGGGGGGGGGGGGGGGGAGGTGTGGGTTTTCCTTGAGATGAGAGATGGCATTGACGTTGAGAGTGCGATGAGTGTGTGACTGGGGAGGAAACTCTAAAATTCTAGAATGAGGGAGAGTCGAGAGATGGGCGTGTTAGTGCAGTGGAAAGTAAAAGGTTTTTTGGTAAGTTCATGTCCAATACCTATTAGACATTGCATATTTCGTGAGAAGTGTTGGTGCATCATAAGACCACAGTCTACCCAAAAAGAGGTGTGATTCATAAGCAAGATGTCACACCAGATATTATTATTATATTTAGTAAGTTAAATGGACGTTGAGAGTGCGATGAGTGTGTGACTGGGGAGGAAACTCTAAAATTCTAGAATGGGGGAGAGTCGAGAGATGGGCGTGTTAGTGCAGTGGAAAGTAAAATGTTTTTTGGTAAGTTCATGTCCAATAACTATTAGACATTGCATATTTCGTGAGAAGTGTTGGTGCATCATAAGACCACAGTCTACCCAAAAAGACGTGTGATTCATAAG